AACCAACCGAGCGCCGACTGAACTGTAGCGCACGCATGCCTCACCCAAAACAGCTCTGCTTCATGCTGCTTCCAGTCAACCCCCCATGACAGCGGAGCTCTCTGGTCGTAGCCGCTTTTCAAAGTTGGCAGCCACGGTCGCCACTTCAAAATCAGCAAAACAACGGGCAAGGACTTTGCACATAGGTCTAGGGTAAGTTTGTGCTTGCTTGGTACGCCAGGACCCCGACTGATCAAGCCCACAAAGAAGTAGGTGTGGTTTACCGCTAAACCTACAGAAACCCTGCTTTGCTCCTAAACAACGGTGTGTGGACAAAGGAGAAAGGTCCAGGTGTATACCCAAAACAGATGTTGGCTTGCGCCGCGGCGTTCCGAACACGCACATCTCAAAGAAGACCAGCGAAACATGTTTACGTCGTTGAAGGCATTGTAAAGGGGCACATAACCACAGTCGTGACCCTCCGGGGTTCTCCAAGGTAAAGGCTACATGCAGCAACAATGCCAATTTCAAGACCGAGGCGCTGAACCTCATGAACATGTTGCCCTCTTCCACTTTCTGTTGGTCTCCAGCACGAAGGTTGGGCAACCCCATGACACACGAATCACTCCGCAAGGGCGGCGGGCCCGGCGGGTGGTCTCTGCTCGGCTGAAGGTGTGGCAAGGGGTCCCAAGGTGGCCGGATCTAATGAATCCAGCTCGCAGCCGCCCAAAAATCTTAGATCCGGTTTTCTTTGCAACAAAGGTCATATTGGGCGCCCAAGCAAATGTCCCAGAGCAGGACCGGCCACCCATTGCTTCGGCTGACTGTCTTTCCCAACTGCGCACATCCAGAAAAAAATCTCAAGGAAAACAGGAACTGTTTTGGTGAACAAAACCAGCGGATCTAGAGCACCTTGCGCAAAAGCTTTGCCATGTTGGCGGCTGCTGCCATGGCGTCTGCCTGTACACTTTTTGGTAGGGCTCCAAACAGCTGCGCCAGCCTTGCCCCTTTTTGGTATCGTCGGACGGAAGCGGGCGTCTTCCACCGACCCCTCTGCTGTATGGCGTCGAGTGATCGGAGCCGGTTGCACCCTGAGCATCCAATCTTGATTAGAATCAATATATTGATTTTGATGTCTGCAAAATCAATATCTCAGATTGATTTTTTTGAATCAATTTTTCAATTGAAAAAACCATTGTTTCAGGACCCTTGAATCAATATTTTTCAAAATTTTTCAATATCCTACACCACCAGAATCAATATTTCAATCAATATTTCTGGACACTTTTTCATGCCTTTTTCATTGAGCTGGGTCTGCTATGTACAAGCGCCTTTTCCAAGGACTGCTATGTACAGACACCTTTTCCAAGGAGAATCTACAGCCTTTTCCAAGGATTAGACTTTTTCCAAAGTCTTTGCCAAAGCCTTTTCCAAGGCTGCTGGCCCACGTTTGCCTTTTCCAAGGGTCACAGATCTTCCAGGTTGTCCTGATCCATCTTCCTGGTCAGCAGGAAGTGGACCAGAACCCTGTACTTGGGGACAACCTTCAGTGTGAGCCTGGTGGACGACACACCAAAACTCACACTGTGGGCCAGCTTGCTGATGAGCCCTACATAATCCTCACCCAAGAAGCACATATGCTTGGTAGGGTTCATATATTTGCTATTCCATAGAAGATGTATGAAACGGTGGTGTTTGGCAACAATTGCAAAACTGTTTCTGCCCTTTTCCAAGGACCAAGCATGAAGCCACTTGTAAGCATCCAAGAAGTCTTTTCCAAGACTCATGGCTTTTGCAAATTCTCTGGGTGTGAGGAATGTGCCAGCATCGCACCAAAGCTGCACCAGCTTTTCCAAGCTGCAGGCTGCTGTGTGCATCTTTTGTTCACTGATCTCTGTAGTCCCTTCAAAGCTTAGGTTGTCATAGGTGTGCCATGGAACCAAGGGTAGCAGCCATTTCTAGCGCAGACGCGCAGGTCAGGATGCTGATCACCCTGGAAGAAAGAGGCCTACGGAGGATCTAGCTTGGAAATGGCCTAGAATAAACAGTGGCTTCTTGGAGAAGATCCAGCATGATGCCCGCACTTTTGCAGAGCAGCTTGCACTTAATTTGAAGTCTGTGGGAACTATGGCACTCCATTGCATTTGCTAGAAAGCTAGCTGAAAGGTCTTTGGTATTGTGATCACCGCTGCAACTCCTTGATTTGGTCAGGATGATGCAGTGAGACCATTTCCTCAAGGAGCTCTTTGCTGCCTACATCATTGCAGAGACCCTGGATTTCCTGAAGGTGGCACAAGGCCAAGTGGTGGAGAGCGCGCTTAGGTTTTGTGCACCTTGAGCAAAGCTCTAGTTGAAACAGCGCCCAAAAGCTTGTGAGGAAAATGTCGGGCGCGCAGCTTTTTGTATTTCTACCCTGCAAGGACATACAGTAGCCACACTTGGCTCATCACTCAAGGCAAATTGTTTCAGCAGGTTCATTAGCCAGGTCTGACTTGTCATTCAAGGCAAGCTGTTTCAGCGGAAGGTTCAATAGCCAGGTCTGGCTCATCCCTCAAGGCAAGCTGTCTCAGCAGCAGGCTCATTAGGCAGGTCTGGCTCATCCCTCCCTCAAGGCAAGTTGTTTCAGCAATTAGCCAAGTCCGGCTCACATGTTCCCCACACTTTTGTTCTATTTAGCCGGCCACGTGCAGGCTCCATGATAACATTTTGGATCACCCTTGATGTTTGCAAGGTTGCATGTTGATTCTTGTCATCAGTCAGGCGATGCATGGTCACATCTTTCTCATTGCCTGTGAGGCTCAAGAGAACTATACCGAGCAACCATTTGCAAAGCAGTTCGTGTGAACTCTTAAGGCTCTTGTCAGCAAACATGTTGACATCGAAGGTTTTTGCTCTTTCATTCAACCTTCAAGCTGACTCAACTTTAGTTTTTTTAACTTCTTGCATGTGGCCAAATCATGGACAGCCAGCCTTGCAAAAGGCTTAAGAGGATCAATGAACTGAGAAGGCAAGTGCCTCATGTCACAAAAGAGCTTTGCACCAGGTATTGTCACATGTAGAAGAACATGGCATACCTGAAGACCACAATCCTAAACATATGAGGAAAGCTACCCAACAAGATTCGCAGTGGGATGCC